AAATAGTGGTCCTTATGAAACCTATGTCTTAAATAGCTAGTGACGTGTCAACTAGGTGGGCGCGACGTTATCTATATATGAGTGTTATACTTGGAGTGTAATTCAATTAGGTTATTTGACTTGTATCAAGAGCTATTATAATCAATTATTATCAAACACTGTTGGCAAGCACGCTCATTGCTTCAATCTGAGGAATTTTTTTTCATGTTAAGCTGAAATAGTGGTCCTAATGAAACCTATGTCTTTTGGATGTCATTGCACTAAGTGAAAAATTGTATCAAAGTTGTTTCGGAAGTATTGAGTCAATCTACTCGACGCCAGTTTTCACACAAAATGTTGTGACATCAAAAATATGTACATAGTCATGCCATAAGTTCTGTCCCTCGTTTTCAAACAAGTGTAGACCTGTTAATACTTGTCCGATTGTTTACATTGTGGTGTCAGTTGATTAAGCGCTTTTCGGGTAATTACATATACCTCAGTTTGTATTGATCTCTCGAAGCATAACGATGGAGTGGGGCAAGGCAGAGAACCGTATTGCAGTGATAGCTTTACATAAGTGTAATCACAGTGCTAGTCAGATTTTTGAACTCTTACGCGGCCTTCAAATATCGCGTAAATTTGTGTCTAGGACCATTCAGCGGTACAATGAGACGTCCTCTGTTGATGACAGGCCAAGAAGCGGAAGACCTCGTCAAGTAAGGACTCCAGCAGCCATCAAAGCCGTAAAAGCCAGGATTCAAAGGAATCCACTCCGGAAGCAGAAGATCCTATCCAGGGAAATGAAGATTCCTGTCCGGACGATGTCGCGCATCATTAAACAAGACCTAGGGCTAGGGGCTTACCGGAGACGTACGGGCCAGCGACTTACGGCCACCTTGCGACACATCAGGGCGACAAGATCCAAGAAGCTCTTGGAGAGGTACGCAGCTGGGGGATTCCGAAAGATTTTGTTCACGGATGAGAAAATCTTCACCATAGAAGAAAAATTCAACCGACAAAATGACAAAGTGTATGCAAGGAGTTCACAGGAAGCTTCGGAGATCATTCCGAGAGTTGAGAGAGGCCACCACCCTGCGTCAGTCATGGTTTGGTGGGGGGTGTCCTACGAAGGGGTCACTCAGCTCCATTTCTGTAAACAGGGCGTGAAAACAAAAGCGGCAAACTATCAGAGCGACATACTGGATCCTATCGTCAAGCCTTTAAGTGGTACATTGTTTGCCAACCAACACTGGGTCTACCAGCAGGATTCCGCCCCTGCTCACAAGGCTAAGAGTACGCAGCGCTGGCTGGAAAGCAATGTGCCAGAGTTCATTGCTGCGGAAGATTGGCCCTCAGGGAGTCCGGACCTCAATCCTTTAGACTACAAGTTGTGGGACCTGCTAGAGCAGTTGGCCTGCTCCAAAGCCCACCCTAATATCGAGTCCCTGAAAGCGGATTTGATCCGATCAGCGGCAGCTATTCCTTTGGAAGCTGTGCGTGCAGTGATAGATGAGTGGCCCGCGAGATTGAAGCAGTGTGTGAAGGCCAAGGGGGGACATTTTGAATAAAACTGTTTGATTATGAATTCTAAAAATGTTGTCGAATAAATAATATCTTTCATATAAATATATCTTATCTTGTTTCATTTTTATCATGAGATTATCATGGGACAGAACTTATGGCACGACTACGTACATATTTTAGAAGTAAAATGTGCAATTCTTTTAATAAATATTGCATGTGCTGTGATATTAATTGTGATGATCTTGATGTAATTCTGATCAGCCTTAGACATAATTATGCTGCGTTGGGACATTGAGGAGTGCACTGCAAGGTGATTTTTAAATTGTTCTGTAATTGGTATATATCCATTTTCCTGATTTGTCTTTTATAGAGTAACTATATATAATATTTTACAAAATTTTATGCTCCTTATGAGTGTTTTATATATATAGTAACTGTGTGACCATATTCAGTTTTATTATATTTTGTCTATTCTTTTTTGTAATTATTGTGTTTTATACCACATATATGTCTTATGGCTTTTCTATATCAGTTGGGTATACTCTGTTGGAATAAAGATTATTATTATTTTCTACCCCTCCACCCAGTAAGTTGCTGTGTGCTGCATAGATGCAGGTAGTGGTAGTTTGTATTGCATAAAGGTAACTCAGAATGTGTAATTTTATCACAACTGGTGGAAATCATAAATAATTCTAAAATAAACTAACACACCAACTTGCATGAAAATTGAAATAAACATTTTCTGAAGCAACATAGTAGATTGCAAGACCCTCTGCACCACCATTGCTAGGCAATGTGGATATGAACTTCACTCTTCAGCAGGCGTCTATCTTTTTCTAACTCATATTTGCGCTAATTTTTAGTTCTATTTCTTTCATCTACACCAAAAAAACTAGCATCTATCTAAAATAATTTTTTCATCAAAATGTTTTTTTCAAATACCATTTTTCAGCAGTACCTTGACATGAAATAACAGCGCAAAACAGACCATAAGACACTACTGCTGCTATTTCTTTTTTATATTTATAGAATCATATTTTTAGTTTATTCGTTATTTATTTTTTTTTTCAGCCATTTGTATAGCTTGGCAGTTCTTACTATCATAATAGCCACCTAAAATTTGTAAATATTCTCGATATGGGAACACCAACAAGTGTCAATAACAATTTCAATAGATTCCTAGTAGCAGAAAAGTCGTAGAGTGAAAATATAGTACTCTATACTTGGACTGCTACTTCCAAATTTGGGCTTTATACAATTCTCACTTGCCAAGCATATTGAAAAAAAAACGTGAATCGTTGGCACGGGTAGACGCAAGTTGGCATCACAACTACATAATAATTTTCTAATATTTTTTAGTTATCACAAGTGCACGGCCTTTGCAATACCCAGGAACGTGATCAAACACTTTACGCGTGAATCATCGCAAGGCCGGGGCACGTTGGATGGCTGAAAGCATGCCCGCATGCCGATCCACACGTTACAAACTACGGCTGCACACGCAGAAATACAGCTCTTCTAATGCTGCAAACATGCACTGGAGGCAGAATATCACTAGGGCTTACCTCGGCCTGCGTTCTCACATTGTTATCGGTCGACAAAAGGGTTGTTAAGATTTGAAAAAACTGCTCTTGTTCGGCGGCCATGGCGCCTTCCAAGTCAAAGAACACGATCCACGCGCGATAACAACAAGAAAAACCGCCGTCACGACGTGAGACAGTTGACGTCTGTCAACTATAGAACACGGATATTTCTGAAGGGCAACTCACCTGTAATAAATGAAACACGTACATTCAAGAGCAGGGTCGTATGCTCCGCTGTTCGATTTTCGTCCGCCGGCGCGCAAGACGTCACGCGGAGAGTGATTATCATTTGGGTTGATATGGATAACGTACATATTTTCAACTACAGACCAAACGGCTGGACGGATTTTCAAATATGATGTGTCGTTGGATTCGTCTTAGCGGTGCGAGTGACACTAGCTACATTGAAATTTTATAAACAACAAAATGGTGGATTTTAATAAAAGATTTCAACCTTGTAATTCCTACTTCATAGCCTACAGATCAAACGGCTTGATAGATTTTCACATATGATGGAGTATCCTCTGACTCTACGCTGCAATAGGTAGTCTGAGTATGCGCCTTCGTTTCGCCCCAACATATATGACCTTATTCTATACTTAACACTAGAGGACTTGTATGGTCATGAAGACCATCTTTTGCCCTAATTACTCCGAAAAAGTTTTCTATCACATCTATTTAAGAGGTCTTGTTAACAGGTATTGGACGCTGAAGCGTCGCTTCAGATCCTCTAGAGCATTTTCTAGCAAACCCTAGCGCTTTTTACATTGACTTTGTCTTATCTTTTTGTGAGATGTAGCCATTTTTTTGCTAAAGTTTGGGTCTCGATGAAAACTGTGGAACTTCATGTCTTTGCAAAGATTCCGTCTAGATTGATTGTCGGAATAACATCCACAACAGCACACCGCATGTTTATCAATTTATCAACCAAACAGGGTATATAAGGTATGTATGACTAATACAACAAGTCACAAAATTACCAAAAAACACCAACAAATCGCAGTATATAGTATTAAACACGATACACGTGAACTGCAGTAACGTTACGACAATCCTGCCGCTGGTAACCACGAGCCGATAACTCTCTTGGTGACGTCACGAAGCTCCGCCCACATGCCCAATATCCTATCCTTAATGTATGTGTATCGTGACTCAAGAGTTACTGCAGCTAGTTCGAATACCGTACCAAAGACACTACCTTATTCAAATGGCATTCATGCCGCGTCAAAACAAACACGGCTGCTAGAGCGTACAATCTTCGCGTCTTATCTTTTTGGTCTGTACCCACACCCGGTGTTATGCGTAGATATGATTAATATGTAGATGGACACGGTTGGGCGCGTATCAATACACACAATATTTTTCCTTTCCCCCACCTCAACCGCCTATAAAAATATTTATATATATATATATATTCTGAAAATAATCAAGACCCTCCGACACGTCAAAGAAAAAAGTTTGAGCGATTTCTATTCTGTTTTTGGCTTTTTCTCCGCCACCACTGGCCCGATTTCCAAAAGCTACAAAGCTTTTGCATTTTGACATAGTAGCAACACTAAAAATTCCATTGAAATCCAAGGGGTAGTTCTTAAATTATAGACGGGTCAATGATTAGCGGACAGACAGGCTGACGGAAATGCTGAAGTGAAAAGACGTCAAATTCTATAACAGCAAATAAGTCCAAAATGGTGGGAGGAGTGGAACATCCTAGAGGTTTTTACAGCCCGCGCAGACATAAGGCGGTCAGGCGTTCCGAATTTTGCGTTCTTTGTAATATGTACTTCTGTTAAGTAACAACACGCACTACCGTCGTCGGACCGCAGCGGTTATTTGAAGTACATATTTTACAATGAACGCAGAACTGTGTCTGCGCGGGCTCTTAGCACCTGAAAGACCGTATGCTTGGAACACAGCATAGGAAACAATTGTTTTCTGTGCTGTGATTGGCAGGTTCCAATTTCTCAATGTAAATGTTTTGTGGTTTTGACATCTAATACTACATCATACTACATAACCGGGCAAATTACTTCCATGAGTCTTTCCAAGTTAGAAGAAACATGCATTTGAGATTAATTAATAGAATGAAATAGAACATTAATACCACAGTATTTCGATACTAAAACTGTGTATATATTTTATGACTATCAAGTAACATGAATAACTTGAGAAGCTTGTTATCTCATCATGGTCCCATACCAAACACTTTATACAGGCATTACGCATTCAAGAGCGACTTAAAAATTAAATGGGTTCGACCTGAAAAGATTCCTTGTTACAAGCCTGCAAAGAGCGGCGACTTAGAGAGCTTTCCTGGAATTGATAAAAAGCAGCCAATACTGGATTTTAGAGATTCAAAAGAACTGGAAACGGCTGACGACAATGTGAAAAAATTGTTTTCTTTAGAGTTTGCACCCCAAAAATACACACACAGGGTTTATTTCCACGAATTCGTAGATAAGGTTAAGAGACACGAGTATGATATTGCTTCTATAGAGGTTAAAATAGCTAAATGGACAGGTAAAAATTGAATTGCCTAATTTTTCTTATCAATAAGTAAATTTCTTATCTGCATTAGGTGTTATAAGGGCTTTCCAGGAATGCATGGAGAGATTTCCACGCAACAAGAGACTAAAAGTAAGTCTCAAAGAGCTGATTGATAAGCGCAAAAAGCACTTGAAGTATCTGAGGAGGTGGGATTATAAACGCTTTGAGTGGTTGCTAGAAACAATAAATATGGTGTATAAACCACCACCAAATGAATTTCATTGGATCACTAGAAAGGATTCATTGAGGAAGCTAACAGATCAGCATTGTGAAAAAATCAGATCAGAACGACTAAATCAGGTAAGTGCAGCTGAAAGTAAAAATACATTTTTCTATCTGTCTTTAAAATGAAGCATAAAGTATTTTTTGATAAACATTTCTAAAGTCCAAAAGAAGGTTGTGAATGACCTATTTGCTTTGCTCTATATTCATTTTAATGTTATATCAGTAAACTTTTAAGCATATTATGTTAATACAGATGGAAATTTGTAAACTCTCGTATACTAATCATAAAATTTCTGTGTTAATATTAACAGTGGCTATTTTCATATACAGTATAAGCAGCAACTTGAAAATGAACAGCCAGCATTCTTGGAAGAGAAAATCAGAACTCTACAATTCATTAGAGAAGAACAGAAAGAATGTGGTGCTGAAGTAACAGTTACTGAAGAAGAAATAGATAATTGTAGGAAACTACTAGATGAATTGAAATTGAAGAAAAAAGATGACAAAGATAAAAAATATTGAAATGTTAACTTTTTTAAATAAAACATGGTTTATTGGATGTTGCACTACCTCTCAGACGATTTATATTCCTGCCTCAGACTTGCTGATTTAGTATAGGATTAATTTGTAATAAAACTAAACATGTCACATAGAGAACAAAAAGTCACATATGAGTTTTTAGTTTATTTGAAGATGTACATGCACAAATAAAATAAATAAAATATTACATTGAAAATTTTTCTATGAATGATATTTCTTACAACAGTAAAATCAGTCAATTTCCTAAAAGCAAAATATTGCAGAAATATCATTGTACCAATCAAGTTACAATCGTTGCTAGACTGAATATTTTTTTGAAATATGTATATCACAGAACAAAACATCCTAAGAAAAATATTCTTGGTGAAAATATTTGTAATTTTCCACTTTTGTTAATAGATTTCAACGGACACCATCAAAATAAAACTGGAAATGGTTTTTGAGTGGTTCCTTACAAAATGAATGCATCTAGAATAGAAGTGTAAACAAACAATTTCGATCAAATCATGAATTTAAGACATATGGACTTAAAATTACAATAATATCTAAAAACAAACATGTGGTTCTCACTTTGTTCATATTGCTAAGTAATTTGAACACCAGTACCTTTTCAACTTCAACTATAAAATTGTTGAAATGCACAATTTTTAGCTCAAATGGCAACTTACTCAAATCAGTTAATTCAAAAACTCTTTACTCAAGGATACACTGGAAATCTTTGCCCAAAAGAGTGAAACTTTCACATACATTTTTTCTCATCCATGTGGTATTAATTTCTCAGCATTAAAAAAATCTGCAATTATGCTGTTTATCGCCAATAATTATCTTTGCACAGTGCTTTAACACAAAAATGGAAATAATACTGCATTGTATTGTTGCCATGAAAAGTACTTTGTAAACTTTTCAATTCAAGTATGTCTTACCACAGTACACCGCCGAATTGCAACTGATATGTTCTTTGGATGTGGTTAGTAGTTCTGATTCTGAATATGAGGGCACAATCTAGAGATATAACCACGCGGCAAACCGAAATACTACTAAATTAGATGTAACCAAGCCTTTTTTTTATACTCCAACTACCACAAGGCCTAAGGCCTAAACATCCATTGGATACCGTGGGGTTAGCATTAGCAGACAGGTAAAGAAATTTTGAAACTGGGCATTCTTGCCGTGATAACCTGTAGTCGTATATACCGCCAGTTGCATTGCATGCAGCAGTATAGCAGGTATCTTTGACAAATATGAAAGAATTATTACGATAACTTGAAATATAAAGAGAGTACCAGAATAACATCATTATCAGAGACTTTGTTAGATCTTCTTATTGTAAATTTCGAATGTGCAGGGATTAAAGCTGTACATACACCTAAAGTTAGCGATCACAGTTGGACAATGCTGCCCTTGGTACGGCATTTGTCTGATACAAAAATTAAGAAAATCGTAAATACTATTAAGTACGAAAAACTTGAACGAGAACTTGCTGGCTGCTATTGGAATTTTGGTGAGAATATGGAAAAAATATATGACAACATAATAGGAAATATAAAAACTTGTTTAGATCTTGCAACTGATAAAAAAGTGATTTGCTCGACAAAAAATACACCCTGGTATAACAAGAATATTAAGGCAGCTCAAAATTTGAGAGACAAACAATACAATAAATGTATATTCACAAAATCAAATGATGATTGGGAGGTATATAAAACTCTTAGGAATAAATGTGTATATGTAATTAGAGAAGAAAAAACGAAAATCTACGATAAACAAATCGATAATAAGTGCGACAGTGTAAAGATGTGGAAGACTTTAAAAAGACTGATTAATTCGAAGCCGCATGATTGTGTAAATCAAGTTCAATTCGAAAACGGTACCGAAACAAATTCTTTGGTGATTGCAAACAAACTAAATGAATATTTTGTGGAAAGTATTGTTGATATTGTGGGTACTGCCAATGCTGCACCTGACTATATGACAATCAGTTTCCAGGGGGAAATGTTGCATACACTTTCAAAATTTCACAGCGTATCATTGAATTATCTAAGAAACAGTTTAAAATCAAATAAAAACTGTGCAGAAATCACTACTAAAAACGTGCTGAAAAACTGTTTCGAAATTTTGGGATATCCTGTATTAAAATGGATCAATTGTTCATTGAGAAGCAGTTCTTTTCCTGAAAATTTGAAATGCTCTACAATAACACCAGTTCCCAAAATAAAAAATTCTAAAAGATGCAGCGATATAAGACCAGTAAATGTGTTACCAGACATTGAAAAATTATTAGAGTCCATAGTGCATGACCAATTGATGCAGTTTATAGAAGAAAACAAAATTTTAGTGGAGGCGCAAGCAGGCTTTTTTTTGTGTTACAATTTTTATTTCTAGTATCATATTCATAATTTTTATAAATGGTCGAATGTTTGTTTTCATGGAATTCTACTATAACAATATACCAAAATAATTTTTTTTATATCTAAAAGTTTTGATTCTATAAACAGCCATCTGCAGGGATATATATCGGTTTGTTATGAATTGTGTTTGCAAACAAACTAAATCAATATTTTGTGGAAAGTATTGTTGATATTATGGGTACTGCCAATGCTGCACCTGACTATATAAAAATCAGTTTCCAGGGGGAAATGTTGCATACACTTTCAAAATTTCACAGCGTATCATTGAATTATCTAAGAAAAAAAGTAAACAGTTTAAAATCAAATAAAAACTGTGCCGAAACCACTACTAAAAACGTGCTGAAAACCTGTTTCGAAATTTTGGGATATCCTGTATTATTCGAAATTTTGGGATATCCTGTATTACATTGGATCAATTGTTCATTGAGAAGCAGTTCTTTTCCTGAAAATTTGAAATGCTCTACAATAACACCAGTTCTCAAAATAAAAAATTCTAAAAGATGCAGCGATATAAGACCAGTAAATGTGTTACCAGACATTGAAAAATTATTAGAGTCCATAGTGCATGACCAATTAATGCAGTTTATAGAAGAAAACAAAATTTTAGTGGAGGCGCAAGCAGGCTTTCGATAAAATTATTCCACAGAAACGGCTTTCCAGTTGGTAACTGAGAATTGGAGAAGAGCCATAGACTCAGAAGAAGTTGTCATAGCAGTATTTTTGGATTTGAAGAGGGCATTTGAAACGATTGATAGAGATATTTTGTTAAGTAAATTGAAGGCATATGGTATAACAGGAAGTGTTTTAGATTGGTTTAGAAATTATTTGTCTAAAAGGATGCAAGTTACAAAAGTTAATGACACTATTTCATCAAAAATTGACAATACGTTGGGTGTTCCACAGGGCAGTATCCTGGGACCACTTATTTTTATTTTATACATAAATGATTTACCTGCCATAGTCAAAAAATGCAAAATTCAGATTTTCGCCGATGACACTATGATTTATATAAGTACTAAAAATATTCAGTCTGGTATCTCTTATATAAATGAAGACTTGAAGCTTGTCTCAAAATGGTTGGCATCTAACAGACTAAAATTAAATGCAAGTAAAACGAAAGCCTTGTTAATCGGAAAAAACAATGTACAAATGTTCAACTGAATATTGATGGTGAAGATATTGAATTCGTAGAAAATTTTAAATACCTGGGGGTTTTCGTTGACTCTCGATTAATTTTTGATATTCATTATGAAAAAGTTATAAATAAGATTAGTAGTAAAGTGGGATATTTATCGAGAGTTTCTGGATGTCTGAGTTCATATAGCAGAAAAATTATCTATAATACCCATCATTCTTCCAAATTTCTTGTACTGTTCGACTATTCTATATTTAGCATTTTTGAAAGACTGCAAATTTTACAAAATAAGTGCATGAGAATAATACTAAATAAAGATAAATATACTCCAATTAGGCAAATTAGCAATTTAAAAATTTTTATCAAATATCTTGTAATGATATTCATTTATAAAGTAAAAAATAATATATTTCCACCAAGTCTAACTAATTTAACATCATCAAATGTCGACCATCATTTACATAATACCAGAAATAAAGATGACTTCCATTTAATGACCAAAAAGTATAACATATGCTACAAATCTGTATTCCATCAAGGGTTGATTGAATATAATAAATTATACTCGGAGATAAAAGACCAGAAAACTTTGACAAAATTTAAAGTGAAATTGAGAAATCACTTGTTAAATCTACAATTATAGGTTGCCCAGCATTTACATCATACACCATATGGCTTGAATTTACTAGTTCTAAGTTGTTGACAATTATTCTGTTTATGTAGCCAAATGTGCTAAATAAATCTTTCTACTACTACTACTACATAAAGATGATATAGCATTTTCTGAGTTGGGTGGTGTGTGACGTCAATTACACACTTAGGCTCGCACATTTCATTCATCTTTGAGGTTCAAGCTGAACAGTCGCAATTTATTTGTATGTTGGCATATACTTGTGCGGTATTACAGATAACACGGCAATTTTTACCGTCTTAAATATTTTCTAACTCATAAATGACATATTCGAATCGAATAATGATTAAAAGCTTATTTTACATGTTTCTAGCAGGATGCACAGCATAAAGCTGGAATGCAAATACTGAGAGATTGGAATAATTAGCCTTTTAAAAAGACCTGCAAACGGTACAATTATCCGGCTGGTTCGTAAAATTTACCACTCGGTTTGTAACTTGTACCTCACCAAAAAGCAAGATTTTAGTTGTCAATCGATTTATTTAGCCATCATACACAGAAACACCATAAATTAGGAACATATGTGAGACAAAATATTATTCATTTAAGATGTTCGTATAAATCGAAAAGTTTCATTCACAACACTTAAGAATCACTGATTTGAAGCACAATGGTAAAATAAAAACATTGACAATATTCGTTCAATAATTTAATTCTAGCGCAACAAATTGTCGAACCGGTATGATTGGCACAAATTGTTTATTTTTTCAAGACCTGTTGTTAAGTTTCACCTGCTTAAAATCTTGCAAAATAACCAATGATTACAAAAACAACGAAGTCAAATGTTTTATTGTTTCGGGAAACACAAAAAGAGTGTAGCAAATTCATTCCATATTTCAATTAATGTTATTCAACATACATCTGCTACTAGGAATTTAGATTTGACTATGGATAGTGACCTGAGGTTTTCAAAGCATTTTGATAAGTGGATTGGCCGTGCTTATGGATTTGTATAACAAGGTATGATGTTGATTGTATAAAGCGTGTCCAAAGGTCTTGTCTTAGGTTTATTTTTGGAGTGAAAAAATCAATGTTCGGTCCCGGAAGTTGATTTCATAACCACGTCATCGTACATCTATTCTTAATAACGCCAATGACTACCCCTTGTTGGCCGCCGGGTGATGGCTAAGAGCCTTTTTATAAATTCTTTGTAACAAGCGGCGCTGACCATCTGCTAGCTGGGAGTAGAACCAATGGTTCGTCATTGATATTGGGGTAAGTGTTGTTATTTGGAAATCTTCGTCCCCGTTTACACCAACTAGAATAGGCACACTCTAATACTTAAAATAATCATTTTGACCATATTACCTAAATACCTACTTACATCAAAATGAGATTCGCAGCAGTACAATGATATTCCCTAAAGAGGAAATGTATAGTCCCTGTTCATTACCAACAACCACTTTTCTCTAATTACTTCCCACGCCTACTGGCGGGAAGAATTGTTATCGCGAAATGTTTCGAAAATGAGATATGTTTTTTGGATCTTATATGAAATGTACATACATCTCGATAAACCATGTCACTCATTTCTGTCGGTCTGTCCGCTAATCTTATAACCGCCTAAAACTTGAGAAGTGCCGATCAGTTTTCGATAAAATTTTTATGCAATGCCAAGGACGCAAAAGCTTTGTAGTTTTTCGAAATCGGTCGAGCGGCGGCAGAGAAAAAGGCCAAAAACGAAAAAGAATAAAAGTTGCTCAAACTTCGTTTCGGGACGTATCAGAGGATTTTGGACATTTTATAAAAAAAAATGAGGCAAAAAGACTTGGGAGGTGTTGTACCTTGGTATTCTACGCACCTATAAGACGCATTTCATACATCACAGACTTCTCCGTACATCAGCACTTAAAGCTTAGAAGAATATTCTCAGCGGACGTATCGCGTACCTACCGCCGGCCTTGATGAGTGCTCTATTGTTCTGTATTACACGTATTTCTACTGCGCCACAGTGTTTCCTATGCTCTGTGCGCGCTGCCTCATCTGTCCGGGGAGAGGCGACGTTTCCAGATGCACTACCAGTAGGGCAGGGAAAGAATGTCCATGGACTAGTTGCACGGACCTGTTGGACTTACCTTTTGCACAGACGATCTAGTTTGTTCTGAATATAATCCTTTATGAACTGATAACGGCGTTGTGTGGAAAGTGTAGTCTACCAACGTGACGCCAACCTTTTTTTATAGTTTGGCACAGGGAAACACGTTTGTAATATACACGAAGCGTGTGGTGGCAATGGTGTCAGTCAGTCAGTCACAAGCTCCAGCAAGGCGATTCTCCAAATAAGAATCTTCTGGGTAACATAATTTTGCGATCTTTTAAAAATATAATTTTTTTCAGCGATGCGAGCGATTTACTTGGATTATCATTTTTAAGTGTGTTTCAAAAAATAGGAAACTTCCTTATTAAGCGTAAAGTAAGTTCTCCAAGATACCGTTTGTGACATATTGTTTGCAATTGCTTTTTATCTAAAAGAATAACAGTATCTGCATTTCTATTGATCGACTATCAAGTTATAAAGTTATCCTACCTGCCTGTACAGGATTCAAAAACAAGTGTGAAATTCAAGAATTATTACATTCTCCAAAAAATAACATATTTTCCTTGGTAATTGTGTAGTCTCAGTACTGACTGTATTCAACACAATTTGGCGGTATTATATTCGACACTCGCTGGATATGGCAAGAATCAAGATTCTACAATTGTGAAACTTTTATTGTTGAAAGGCAAATCTAAAAAAATTCAATAAAAAAAACTTTTGATGAATTTCATTACATACCATTTTGGTATGGCGATGGTGGGTTTTACAAATAATTACATGGAATTTCTGACACGACAGACCACTGACGTACTGGAAAAATGTAGAGTTTAAAGTTTGATTACAATCAGATTGGTTAGCATTAGTACAGATACAGTATTTAGTAGATACACTCATTAATATGTACAAGTAATAAAAATTACAATTAGTTTTATAGTCTAAGTATAGTCAGTAGTTCCAGCAATTGTAGGACACCTTTATGGCCTCCTTGATTTTCATAGTTTCATACTGTCCGTGTCAGCGCTCTATTTTGTTACAAATATCTATTTGCATCAAATTGTTCATGCTTTTGATTGATATCATCTGTCATATAGCCTGAAATTTCCTACAATTCAAAAAGAAAACTGACACGGAACAGCAGAAGACTATAAATTACCTAGCCTTTCTGAAGGAGAGAAAAGACTGTAAAATCAAGCAGGCCATAAAGGCGTCCTATAATTGTAGGAACGACTGACGATACGGCCCTAAATACAGCCAAGTCCACTGAATATCAGTAAAACTGTTCTAAGACATTTTGAAGCACACAGAATTAATTATCTCCATATCTGAAAGTTTCACTAAATCAAGATCGTTAAAACGCACACCATCAAATGCTATTTCAGTACGTAATATCCAAATTCACAAACTCATCTTAAAAAAACATTAGGTCGAGTATTCACGCTCACTCTCACAAATCCTGTTCTCTGTCACTGCCATGTTCCTCAGCATTTTACGACTTTTTGAAAAAGGAGGTGATACTCTTTGATCCACTGGCTGCTTTCGCTCGAGCCTTCTCCTTTGTCGATGGTGCTGGGGACTGGGTTTGAGGTGGGTACGGCGGGGCCCCTGGTTTACTCAAATCTAGTACGTTTGATCCCATCCTTGCACTAGTAGAATTGCTATTTTCTTCTTCTGGTAAAAAAACATATCAGTTATTGAAAACAGACTCAACCACTTTCATGAATGTGATAAAGGTACAATGACAAGGCAACACAATTCCTGAAGATGAGGCATTGATGCAAGTGCGTACCCACGGGAGGAGGGGGGAGGGCAGCTACTCCCCCTATTCTCTAGCTCGGTAAAAAAATTAAATGGAGAGAACATTTTTCACAAAGAATAAATTATTTATGTACAGATTTCTCCACACGCTGAATCAAAATCTATTAGTTGAAAAATTACTAGGGTTAGTTGAAAGCCATGTTAGATATAAACTTAAGTTTGCTAAAAGCACTATATATGTTAAGTATGTTTCAAACCTCCCTTTTGGGATCTTGGAAACGGTTCACTGTGGTCCGTACATGATCAATAAATATATCTCATTATAAATATACGAAGCGGAGTACTTTATGGGAGCAAGATGCGTGGGTAAATAAAAGATGGAACTTGAGCAGTATGGAAATTCAAAGTAGCTCCGAATTTAATCGAAGTCGTTTTTATATTTTCCTGTCTTTAGTTTGTTTCAGATTTATTTAGCATTAATGCTACAATGTCCATAATATCCATATTACACGGTATAACACAAAATATATTACGAGACTACATATTTTTATGCAAAATTTCACTACTATGAATTCTGGTTTTCCACGAGATATTTTTTCAATTTCCCTTTGAACATTTTCAAACTGACACACATCTTGATATCATTACTTAATTTATTAAAATACTGACTTGCTCGTTATATTGCTACTGCAGTTTTGTAAATGAAAGTCTATACTTCCTCTAGTAGAAGAATTGTGGCACTCATTGTTCAATACAATAAAATTTTCTAAGTGATTTGGTAGAAGATGACTTTTTAACTTGAATATGAAAATAAAAACCAAGTAGGCTATGAAATTTTTGATATTTAACTTCTATCAGCATAAAATTTATTCTGGTAGACCTAATTTGCTACCTGGTGACACACCTACCGAAATGTTTTTAATGTTTGATAATGTATTGCCAATTTTAGTTCTTTGTCTTCTATTGATTAAATAATTTTGTAATAAGTTGAATACTGAACCTCGAAATCCATAGCAATGCAATTTTGTAACAATTTCTCCCTGTCAATAGTCTCAAATACTCTGTTGAAATCTAAGAACAATGTTACTGTAAACTTTTTTTCATCCATATTTCGCCTCCATTGTTCTACTACCATTTGAATTGCTGTTTCAGTAGAATACTTTTTTCTGAATCCTGCTTGAAATTTTGTCAATATCTTATTTTCTTCAATATATTCAATGACTTGTTCATATATGATTCCTGCTAAGAGCTTCTCGATATCTGGCAGTACATTAATTGGCCGCATGTTTGTATATAACTCAGAATTTTGCAATTTTGGAACCTCGAAACATATCCACGAATGGTCGCTTATTTTAAAAAAAACCTTAATACTCAAATTCTGTTCATTGGTTATTATTAAATGGATCTTAGTTCGTGAACAGTTTGTAATCCTTGTGAAGTCATTAACTTGTGTACATTGTAATTTTGTTTCATCTTGATTTCAAAATTAATATACCACCATTGATAATCAACAACTACAGTATTATGTCTTTTTACTTCAATCATACTTAGTGTGTATATTAGTATGCCACCTGTATGTCTAGAAACTGTGTTTACTCTTAACAACATCAAAATGATGAATATCAATCTCCATATCTTCAATATCTTCTGTAATATGAGTTTCAGTCAAGCAAAGAACTAACGGTTTCACTAATATTAAAAAATTTATAACTTCATCCCTGTGCGATAAAAATCCTTGAATATTTATAGGGTATATGTTGTTAGAATATTTTTTGGCCTGTATTTGCTATTTGTTACCATGAGAAACTTTTTTTTTGATTTTTCATATTCGATTTGGACTATGTTGCAGGTATAGTGGAAGGATGAGTGATTTATATCGAAATTTGTGTTGTACTTCAAATTTGATTCTCTGTAATTTGGACATGCTATTTCATCTTTTGATATCGTACAGTTCTGGGCCTGTTGATTTTGATTAATACAAATACTGGTCTTGGTGCAATTCTTCGCTGTGTGGTGAAATCCGCCACAGTTAAAACACCTCAGAAGATGGTAATGCTCAAAAATTGTACAAACATCCATGGATACAAACGAAACTCCTGCTTTCATTACTGCTTCAAATGTTGATCTATCCAATTCCAAAATTGCCATATACTGAAATTTCATTTTTTTGATTGCCACTACTTTAATCGAAGCATCACTATTTATAACGTTGTGTCTCATTTTTAAGTCTCTAACCAATTCTTCATTGTTTAAGTCTTCACTGAAACCCGCGACTTTAATCATTGGTAATTTTTTGTGGCCTACATTTACTTTATAATTCTGTCCAACACTTTTTCTATTTCTAATTTTAACTTTTTGATATCATCGATATCCTTGCATTCAATTTTCAGTGCTCCATCTTTCAGATCATTTACTTTTTTAATAGACAAATTCATTTTTGCTGGATTTATATACTTGCTCAATTCCTTCTTTCTTTGCGTACAACTTTGATTTGTATTATTAGGTTTAATATCAATTCCGGTTGTATTGTTGTGTTTAATTTTTAGTATATTTTACCGTTTTTTTTTTTGGAAATGGCGAAGTAATGTTGGTGTTTTCAGGTGTAGAACTTTTGACCATGTCTGCATAAGATTTACTGTTATTTGCAGATGTATCTTGCAAATTCATCTATTTGTTTATTTAGTTTATCTATTTTAACATATAGTTCTTTTATCAGTTTTTCTTGTATCGAAATAGTTTATCTTTAAAATGTCTGTTACACAAAATCCTTTTTCTTCATGTGATACTTTCAAAAAGTCGCTTCGATCGGTGCGGTCGCATCTTTCTTGATTTGTTTTGAAGGCATCAAAATTAATACTGCAAGTTGAAAATCTCAAAAAATGGCGCCCCCGCGACGTGTGATAAATATCTAAGCAAACATTTCAACCAAAAGATTTACAAAAGCGTTCGTGCAATTTGTGTCCTATACAAAAAATAGGAATGAACACGTCAGTACAATTAATGAAAACATGTCCAGTTGGTCCGGTACGACAAAAAAATAGGGACGATAGGCGAAAGGCATACCAAAAAATGACCCTAGTAAAAGTTTCACTGTTTTTGAGATATTATTTTTTTCGTCTCTCTTTTCTTAATCTATCTTTTGTTGCTGTGCATAGAAATAACAGGATAACTGTTTTTTTGAAAAATATTGTCAGATAGTTGGTCTGGCGTTTGAAATATCATTTTCGATAAATACAAGTAATTTTACTCAACTTTGGTATTCGGCAATGAAATAGAAATGTACTAGACTGCTACTGCAAAGTGCTGCGATTAATTACCAGCTTGATCAGCAACAAAAGATACATCAAACGAGAAAATTTTTCGAAAAAGACCAAAAAAATTTATATCGCAAAAACAGTCATTTTTTGGTATGTTGTGCCTTTCGCCTATATTCCCCATTTTTTTGTCGTACTATTTACCGGATATTTATACATAGATTTTGTTATATTTTAGTTTCAAGTTAGCTTTGTCATTGAGAATGATTGCATTCTTCAAACAATAAAACATCTATCTATCTACATTGTTTTCTTTCTTGTTTCACAGTCCAATAAATTTGACCTTTATTCACTTTATGATTTATGTTTATCGTTTATCGGCATATCCTTAGTCATATCGGCGATTTTTACAAATATCGGCAAATTAGGCTGATACTACCGATATGCCAATATACATATCGGTATCGGACAACGAAAGGGGACTAGGTAGAAGGAGCATGTATATCATTTTTTTTTCCTAAATTATGTAATCGGTAGTCAGTATGAAAGTTCAGAGTTTATACTACAAGTCGACCAGGCTTAAGCCGTCAGTTTGACAGTTGTTGACATTTCACAGTAAATTCGTACTTTTCTGCAAAAACATATAAAAGTGCATGATTTCCATACAATTCTAGATAGATCTAGAAAATGGTAGGAGGTTTCAGAGGACTGCAAAAATTAGTTTAAACTGAATAAGAGCAAATCTCTTTATCAATATAATACACTACTCCAAAAAAGTAAGTGAGCAAGAAAAAATCAAATTTTTCGGTGAATCTTGACGGGTTGTATTTTGGTGTAAAATGGTTTTTGTGAAAAATATTGTATGTGCACAAAACCATCAATTGCTAACACACAGGAGGTTTTCCATTATACCTTAAATTAATGGTGGCAATATCGATGATGTGGAAAAATCTCCTACATAAAAGTGTGTGTCAAAAAAGTTATTTGTCTCTCGAAAATTTTACTATTTGACACATTAAATGGAAGGTCAGCAAAGGAAACAATAGTGGATTTGTTTAAGAAGAGAGGGCCTAGACATTGTTGCATCAAATTACCTGTGGGTTTTTGTCTTTTGGCATCAGGCGAAGGCTGCAAAGTAGCAACACCACTCTTTCGTTTAACTCCTTGAGGTTCTTCGGCTGGTAAGTTGAGGAATTTCAACAATTTTTGACTCAGGTCATCCATGAGGTATTCTGAGACAATTCCATGTGCATACCTAGAGAACCAGAATACGACAATCAATGTGTGAGAAAAGTTAAGTGCCAGATGAAATTAAAAAATGCTACTGTAGTGGCAGAAAGGTAGATGAATAAAAAATAATTTTGGGTTGTTGTAGGAAGAATTAAAATATGAAATTTCTTTCAATTTGAATGAAACTATAATTTTTTACCATTACCTTATGTATGCATCATTATCAATTGTTTCAGTTCTAGATGACTTGACAAATGTAGCAGAAACTGCACCACCACCAACATGAATGTTCTTTTGCTTCAGTATCTCTGCCACCCTTTCAATTTTTTTCTTCAACCACATCAATGTCTTTTCTTCATTATATTTAAATGCATTTAACTCTTCATCACCCTGAAATAGGATTATATAAAACAAATTTTCAAAGACATAAATAAAAAAAATATTAAATAGACAGCACTATAATATATACTGTTAAAATCAAATATTTCTGCTGATAATGAAAATATTTTCTGTAATAGACACCTTACCTTTCTGTCAGATATCATGTTAAGGTACTTCAAACCACTAGATTTGAGTAGTCTTTCAGTTTCTGGAAATTCTTCATCTCTTAAAAGTTGATCTAATGGAATGGCCTGGTTTGTACAATATTTTCGTAAATATGGAAGAACTGCAATGAAATTAAAACGAAGCATAAATAAATTATAATAAAAACATAGTATTGCTTTTGCTGCTCATTTTGACCTGTACAAAGAATGAAATTAATGTAGAAGTTATAGTTGCATTTAAGAACATCATGAAATTCTTTGTACTTGCAGAAGTTGCAGCCTAAAAACAAAATGAATGGTGCAACTTAAGTAAGACGTAATAAAAAACAACACTAGTGTGTTTTTAATGTATTTGCATACTACAGTGAGATCTAAATACTATAATGAATGCTTACCTAAAAATATTGGATCAATAGGGGTAGACAGATGCATCTTGCCATCACTTTTAACTGTTTCATCAATGAACCATGATCTCTTCCCTTCATTAAAAGTAAGAACTTCTTGGACAGAATTGTTTGCAGGAGAAAATAAGAACACAGCTGCTTCTCCTGTATTTGGGTGTCTGAGTGTCACTATGTCAGGAGTCCCGCTTCCTGTATATTGCTCAGATAGCTCTAGGGCCTCTCCTAAATTATCAAGTATATTGCAGTCATGAATACTATGAACAATATGAAATGTCATATCTAATTTCAAAAGCAAGTCCAGGATTTCAGGTAGAGGAGATAGTCTATATGTCTATCTGCAATATGTAGGAGCTAGAGAAGACAGTTTGCCCCTAAAAGGAGACAGGACACTTCCTCTGTCTCTATCTGGGTATATCATAATTACATGTATGTACTTAGAAATTGTCAATATTCAACTAAACAATGTTTACTTATGTATATATATATATATATATATATATATATATATATATATGTATATATATATATGTTTTAGTTATGTTTGTACAATATGTGAATAAACTTATTACTATTATATGGGTTTTCAACTTCATGATCAAGTTTCAGTAATGTTATTTCACACTTTAAATTATTGTCAGCAGGTAAATATATGAGTAGATTTTTTACTTCAGCAGCCAGCAAAAATTAATATTCGCTATAAAAGAATTTATTTAGTTACATACTCTGGTATCAAAAAATTTATTAAATGAGGAACATATATCTTGGAATAAAATAAAGATTATGTGACATATACCATGTTTGAATGCGATTTTACATCTTTATAATAGAAATACTACAAAAAATTCAGCAGTTTTAAAACATAGGAAGAACAAACAACATTAAAAAAATAAAGAAAAAGTATTTCTATCTACGAATCATATGAATTTTTAAAACTGCTTGTAAATGCAAATATGAAATCACAATTATCATAAATTAATTTCAAATAAAAAAATTTGACCTTATAAAAAACGCGTTCGTATGGTTTATCTGGGCAGGGAAGTCAAAAACAATCAGGCAGCATTAGGAATATCGATGTACCGGGAAAAAGTAAATAAAAATAAAACCTAAAATCCATATCCAATATCCTCACCTTTTAACAGAAAAACCCATGAATTGGTGGGCTGTTGAGTATTAGTTTTGATGCATTTCTTCGGCGATGACTTCACTCGGGGCATTTTGAAAGTTTTTATATCGGTTTCAGTTATAAAATCACATAAACATAGCCTTCGATTTTATTAAAATTAAAAATTCAGAAATGGTAGCAGTGGTGGCAGCACAAAACATGGATGACGTATGACAACTAATTGACAGTGACAACATTCGGATTCAATCATCGCCATGACATGTGCGTACAGTACAAAAGTATAGATCGACCAGCCAAAGATTGCTAGGGACGAAAGGGGGAAATGCGATGAAAAAACCTTACCATTAGACGATTTTATATGGAGTCATAGGCGGAGATCGGAGAGACTTGAATTATTAATTGAATTTATATTTTATTACAACTGGTAGTATTAATATTTTTTTGCGATTCATAATGACGTGATACCAAACATACATTATAAGAAATAAATATACACAAACACTGAATATTGAGAACAAAATAAATATATTTTTTAGGCAACAAGTAATATTCCTATGTACGCATTATGATTGAATAGCAAAACAAATTATGCATTCTTCTAAAATAGAATACAACAAGTCAAAAATATCTGACTGAATAGAAAAATATAGGAAAACAAAAAGTAATTTCTTGATGAAATAACCCATAAACAACACATAGAATTAGACTTTCTACTGAGATACTAAAAGCCACAAACCAATAGTATAATAAATGAATATCTAAAAATTCTAAAAGGTAGCCAATCTAGTATAGTTTCAATCCTGATTAGAGTCATGATCACTGTCTGAGGAACTGTCATTGCTATCACTTTCACCTCCTATGTTGATTATTATTTCTTCCTGTATTTCTTGAATGAGACTGTCTTTTTCCCAATATTCATCTTCAATTTTTATAACATGTCCAATAACCTTTTGCCAGTCACTGGCACTTACTGAAGCGATGGCCTTATTAGAAATTTCATCTAGTTTTTTTATAGTAAATTCGCCGCTTGTATTATGGCTTCTAATGAAAAATTTTACTTGTGCCCAAATCATCTCTATGGGATTAAACTGACACATATAGGGTGGCGTTCGAAGTGGGGTGTGTCCGAAACTTCTTATTAAATTATCTATCTTATAATTTTTCTCATCAGATGGTGGCCTATGTAGACAAGCTATTTCATAAAGCTCCATTTTTTTAGCATTAGGATCATGCTCTATACCTTTTTTGCTCAACCACGTGATGATGTCTCTTTTTAGAGAAGATCTAGTTGGAGGCTTGTCTTCCAAAGCTGAATGGTAAGGTGCATTATCCATTATTATAATACTATTAGGAGGAATGTTAGGAAATAGTTTTTCAGTAAGCCACTTCGTGAAATTTTCTTGGTTCATTTGACCGTGATAATCACCAGTGGCACAGCCAGCCTTGAAAATGAGACAGGCTCCAGGAACAAAACCATCTTGCGAACCCGCATGAACAATTATAAGTCGTCCTGGAAATGAATAAATAGCCTCATTTTAGTGTTATTTTAAGTTTGCCAACACCTTTTTGAATCACTATGTATAAAAAACATATTTTTGAGAAAAAAATACTTGCAAGGGATTATGTATTCAATTAGACAAATTAAATGAGCACTTATTAAGAATATTCCAAAATTGAGAAAAATGTATAATAAGCAAAATCGAGGTGAAAGAAACTTTATTACCTGTAGAACTTATATTGCTCAGGACACCCATAATTTCTTCGCTTTGCCAGCATTTCTTGAAAGTGAGGTCATTATCAACCCAAGTTTCGTCCAAATAAATAATATGCCTTCCTTCTTCCCGGAACTTTTTAATAGACCTAAGATACTTGTATCGCCAATGTAAAATACTGGGTCTTTCCATTAGTAATTTCCTTTTGTTGTGGCATTTACGCCAGTAAAATCCTTTTGCTTTTAAAAGCAGCCTCAACGATTCTTTACCAAATGGAAATTCCATTTCTTCCTTCAGTTTGATTAGAAGTTTACTACAAGTAGGTACCACTTTAAAATCACAGTAAAATTTTTCTATCATTCTCCGAATAATGGAAAAATCGACTCCATCAATTTTTTGGATCACAGAAGGGCGTGATCTCTTTTTTCCGGGAGAAGCTAAAGGCTGTGTGGAGGTTGCATTTTGCCTGTCTTTATCTTCTTTTCTAATTTTACTTATAGTTCGTTCACTAACACCCGTATAATATGCCGCCCTTGCATTTCTAGCTACCAGTGGATAAACGAAAGTATTGTTAGCCGCTTCTGCATCGCAAGCACGTATCACGTTTGCTATTATTTCCCTTGCCTGGCTGTGAATAACTTTCCCATGCTTGAATTCCATTATCACCACTAAACAGTAAATTATATTTTCAAAGTATTTGCCAACTGCCTACGCCTATGGGAGTAGGTTTATAAATGACCGTGCCATCGGCACGTTATTCTAGTTTCAGATAAGATAAGAGTTTTGGACCAATCAGCGACCGGATGTTTACCTGCGGCCTGGGTTTTCCAGCTACATTGCCAAATTCAGCGGAACAATTCTATATCTTAAATATGTTAATATGTATGGACCGCATTTTATGTAGAACATCTGACAACTTCGCAATTTTTTGTCCGCATTCTTTCGGCTTGCAATCTTTCGCTGGTCCAACAGTAGTTCAATGGTAGTGATGCACTTGTGTTTCTTCCCAACATCTGGCGCTCTATGGTTCCATGTCAAAAAACGTAAATAAACAAAAAAGTAGGGTTATAGTCTTAGTTTTTGAAGATGTATAGGATTTGGTAAGTTATTAACAAAAATGTAATTTTACCGATTATAACAGTAATTTCCAGCATGGTATCTGATTTCTTTTTCCCAAACATGGGAGGCGTAGAAGAACACATTTATAACTTGTCAGAATGTCTGATACTAAGTGGACACAAAGTAATTATCATGACCCACAGCTATGAGGACAGAGTGGGCATAAGGTTTCTAACAAATGGCTTAAAAGTTTATTATCTGCCAATTAAAGTTTTCTATAATCAGTGTGTTTTACCTACAGCTATATGCAATATTCCTTTGATCAGAAATATCCTTATCCGTGAAAGGATAGAGATTGTACATGGCCATTCTGCTTTCTCTGCCTTAGCATATGAAGCATTGTCTATTGGTAGCTTGATGGGGTTGAAGGTGAGGCAATTTGTTGATCATGTTTCATTTGCAGTTTACACTTATAATCATTTGGTTTTCAAAGTATTGTTTCCTTTCTGCTATAATCAAATCTGATTTCTTTTGAGTGTGAATGATTTACATTTTCTTTTTGGACAGATTAGTTAAAAAACCTTTACACTGTTAATATCTCTTTTTTTACGTGATATCAACATACAATTAGAGCTTGCTTCTATAATATATAGCCATCAGTTGCCTAATTATTTGAATATAATTATGACCAAATTAAATGTCAACATCCATGAATATTGATTATATCATGTTATTTATCTTCCAGACAGTTTTTACAGATCACAGCCTCTTTGGTTTTGCTGATGCCAGTGCAATAATAACCAACAAGTTCATCCAAATCACCTTGACTGATTGCAACCACTGTATCTGTGTGTCACATACTGGTAAAGAAAATACAGTGCTTAGGGCCAAAGTTGATTCTAGAAGAGTTTCAGTTATACCAAATGCTGTGGACACATTTGCCTTCACTCCTGATCCTAGCCAACGAACAAAAGGATGCAGTAAGTTATTAGATCCAAATTCCAGTTACTTTTATGGCAAGTATGCAAAATTCATGCTACTGACTGTGTCAGACTGATGATGAAATACTTTCCTTTTGTAAAATACCTGATACCATCATAATATAGTGTAATATATGGATGCTGATCAATCTTACAACTATAATATTGGAAAAAGTGATGTTTTGTAATTTTAGTAAAACCCTTTTATGCAATTCAAGCATAGGCTATTTGCATCACCCTCAAAATATTGCTGTGTTCTGCATCATGTCATGCTTATCATAACATATTACATAAATAATTATTCCAATAGAGTTAATTTTTTTCCTTCTACATAATTTTTGTATTTAGTTTAATTGTCTAATATTTATTCCTTTCTTTCAGTCACAATTGTTGTGGTATCTAGGTTAGTTTACAGAAAAGGGGTAGATCTGACAGCTCAAATTATAGGTGATTTGTGCCAAAAATATAGCAATATTTATTTTTTGATAGCTGGTGATGGTCCAAAGCGATGGTAAATGACAATTGACTTATAGTTGCATTAAATCCTATAGGGCAAGTATTTGTAGGTTGCTAGAAGAAATAAGAGAGAGACAGGGATTACAAGACAAAGTGTCTTTGCTTGGGAGTTTAGAACACTCACAAGTACGTGATGTTTTGGTGAAAGGGGATATATTTCTGAACACCTCTTTGACAGAGGCTTATTGTATGGCTATAGTAGAAGCAGCATCTGCAGGGTAAATATGAAAAATTCCCTTCAATTCCTTAGTCTAAAGTGAAGTTTTCATTGTGTTCATTTATTAATCAATTAAGATAGAATATAATAAGACTCATTAACACCTGAAATTTATCTTTAAGTTTGTTTATCTGTCTCCCAGGAGACAGGTCATTTGATTTTTCGTACGCTGAAAAACGACAAACAGCGTCGTGCTGGCTTGTCGTACCGTCAAACAACTTTGACAGTTCGCGATCAACATACTATCAAGTCTGACAGCCAAGTGAAAACTGGTAAAGTTATTCCATAGCTACTGCTAATCAGCGAAAAAGCGCTACACTGGTTGCCCTACTTTACGTTGGCGACTGGTGGCTTAAACGTGTTCATTAAAAAGTAATTCAAGCACTTGCTGTTTGATTTAGCGTCCAGATAATGGAGTATTATAACAGGGCTGCTTTTATGCAGGTTGAAAGTCGTATCTACTAAAGTCGGAGGTATTCCTGAAGTTTTGCCAGAGGATCTGATATATCTGACTGAACCAAACGTTCCCTCATTGATGGAAGGTAACAACTTATTGACAGCATATATTATAATCAATGATATTCGAAAAATGGTGGTAGATTTTAGTACTGTCATTTGTTGTAGGATTGGAAAAGGCAATAACTGATCTGAAGATGGGCAAAGTTGTATGCCCTTATGAATGTAATCTACGCGTTAGGAAATATTATAATTGGAAAAATGTCTCTGTAAGAACAGAAATAGTATATCACAGGGTTTCACAAGAACAAGATAGGGAGTTAGGAGAGAGGTTATTCAAGTAAGAAATGTATTACTGATTTTTTTGGAATCATCAAAGAATTTTACATTTTAGCTATTTGAAAAGTGGAGTGTGGCCATATCTGTTGGTAGTGTCTCTATCATTTTTAATACTAAAACTGTATGATTATATACAACCAAGGAAGTACATTGATATAGCAAAGGATTGCAACAAATTGAGCAAACGTAAGAAACAATCGTGAAATAGGAACTGCACTGAGCTATATTGCATTGCTGTGACCTAGATTTGGATAAATATTGAGCCCACATACAAACATAATGGGCGATAGTTCCTTCAAGACAATCATAATAATAATAACTATAAATATGTCATGATTTACAATTAAAATGTATTTCCTGTTAGCGACGTTTGGGGTGGACCTGAAAATGTTGAAATATGATTATTCCTCAAGTTTCTAATCCGGATAGTAATGACGACGCGTGTCGAAGCAAATTAAATAACCCCCATATGACTGCTATGGAGATTTCAACATCTCTCATTTTCTTGTGACCTAAGATTACTATTAAGGGAATCTTGACTAAACATTTTCTTAAAATCGTGCTTGCAGATTTTCATGAACGTTTTTGCGTTTTTTCATTGCCATTATGAGACTCTAGAATGTCAAAATAAAGTCAAACGGCTCGAATAAAACTGCAGCTGTATCAGTGAATGTCAAGCATCATTTGGATTCACATTGAAGTGGTCTTCAATTTCTCTATCGCGAGATATGTAAACATCCAGATTTCAAGAGTTTTCTGGAAATAAAACCATCACATGTTAAGATTGTTTTATTTCAACCTAAATTATTTTTTCATAGCTGTTTCCTAACTTCGATGAGATCCTTCCTCGCTTTCTTAAAGTTCAGAAGCACTTGGTTAACACTCTTAATAAGTCCTGAAGCATTTAGTTTTTCGTAGATGAACTTCTTCCGTTGATTTTCTTCGTGAAGTTCATCAAGAAAAGCGTGAGACTGGTGGACGACGTTCATTCGGACAACCAGCTCTCCCGTGGTAATTGTTTCTACACTGAATTTGTTGATAACTGAGTGCTAAAATATAGAAAAAAATGTATACAAATTTACTGAAGGTTACTTACATAGTCTTTTCTATTTTATTAATAAAAAGCATCTTGCAAGCTAAGAGTTTTTTGCCGAGCACAATTCTTAGCTTTTGTTAGGCTTCTTTTTTGCAAACATTACTATTGACTTTGACAGTAGCGTTAACAGTAGCGTTTATCAGATCACTGTACTATTCAAATGGTCAATGAAAAAATTGACAACTTTGTGTGTGCAATTTTTTAATGAAAAATGTATTGATGGAGTATTATTGCAAATCCCGATTTTCGGGCATCAATATCGAAAATTTGAAAGTATTTTAGTAGCACTTTCAACCGAGTAATATCAGTTTCAAAAAATAAAGTTGACACGGCTCCTACGCGTGGTTTCGTCAACCGCGGTACTACCGACCCTCTACCTACGATAGCAGGAAATCACCGAATTCCGTCATCTCTGAACGACAGTGTCGGGCTTCTAACAAGCTTTCACTCGGAGAAGTAAAGAAGTAAAAGTTGCATAAATCAAACACAGGCTGAATACGATCTGTTTGCTAACTGTAGCGTCGACTATAACCAACCGTATACAACGTTCTTGTGTGCTTTTTAGCAATCATCCAGTACGGTTTTGTCAATGGGGGGCAGATGACTGATTGCAAACCAGAGTATAAAGGGTTTATTGAAAAACTTAATATTGTGATGTGCGAAAAATATCAGCTTCTAGATTTTGATCTTTTTATTCTAAAATAATCTATATAACACTTACATCATATTCTTGTGGCAGTCCGATCCATCGTATATCTGCACACTTACTGTCTCCCACAAAATACCTTTTGATTCCTCCAAAGAAACCTCCATTGTTGAATTTACAACAAGACAAATTGTAAGTGTAACATCCTGGTCGTGATACTGGTAAGTTCTTATAGGTAAAGCCTTCTCTTCGGTAGCAGTTCCACACTGTTTTCGATATCACTTCTAGGTAGATGTAAGGTGTCTTTGGAATCTCTGTAAAATAAATAAGAAGAACATTTTTCATTCTTGTTGCACTGTATGTCTTGATAAAAACGCAAGCTGTATCAAAATTGAATCATTCGCACAGTAGGGCTTTGAAACGATTCCAACCTCCAGTTCTGGTAATCCATACCACCATGTTTGACATTAACTGTATGTCATGAAATTTTATAGAAGTGTCTACGATGTCTTTACAAAAAATTGTATTGATGTGTTGGAAATTTGACAATCCAAATGCTTGTTATGATTGATTCAAGAGGTAATGGGCCATTTAAAAAAAATATATAAACATAGTGCCGGAAATGCACTAGTACTAAGATACGGGTTGTTTGTTGTACATGTGGTACTAAATAAGATCAAAACATAAGTATTCCGATAATACATACATTCTACATGAGACTACATGTTTTTTTAACGAATTCTACTCCATATATTCAAACCATTTTTTATCAAAAAGAAAGGGTCGAACAAAAATTTCTTAGGGATTGAAATAGATGTTCGAAGGTCAGTGGCGTAGAAATTTTTTTTTTGTTCTACTGCAGGAGTCAAAATATGATTCTGAGCAGTCAACACAATTAGATGTCTATTAGATATTCATGGTGGTATCTGAATGGACAGATACATCCAATGTATAGTTGTCGTCACCGTTCTTATCGGGTCAAAGCAAGACTATCAGTATCCCTTTACATATCTTCATCTCCCTCATACATAAACATGCAACCTACCCCTGTGTGTGAACGTTTGTTCGGTAAGCTCAAAGACATACGTTTTTTTAGTTGTGTGTCTCCGTCTCGAAAACTTTGTCGTTGCGTATGAGTGCCCTTTTATCAAATTTGTCAGAGTGACAACCTACTTACGGCGAGTTGTCGTGTTATCAATCAATATAAAATTGTACAATGCCCGAAAATGCGATCAATGGAGAAGGCCGACAGCTCGTGCTAAATTTATTAGAGTATTTCCAAGAAGAGAATGAAAACAGCGGTCCCCTGTTTACCCCCTTCGTACTGGAGAGAGTAGCAGATGCGCTGAAGATTATTCTGCGCAGTGTTCCGCCCATGGTACAGAGACTCGATCTGTTTACTTATTTCATATGCTGTTTATGACGTAACCGCCAAGAACGGGGACTACAACTATATCTCCAAATGTCCACTTATATCCAACAATCTGGATATATGTACATGTGGATATCCTATGTGTATATAATGGGTATGACAATAGTGATGTTATGCATTTAATATTAACACCCAATGGATATTCATTGAATGTTCATTAAGTAACCACTGGTTCGCCATAGAAACATCTAACTGATGTTTCAGGAATATCCAAATAATCACTCCACAGACACGCGAACCTGTCACGTCTAATCGAAAAATGAAGGATAACTGAAAACCTAACGATACAATTCAACCATGTATTCATAATAAAATATGTATGTTTTATATGTATGCATACATGCAAAGTTGCATTATATAGAAGCCAATTCTTGGTCTATTCATATACTTCCTGTCCTGGGTCTCTCTATCATGAGCAGCTGCAAATGCTAATTTTTCTCACTACAAAACTTCTTATTAGAGCCGTTTTACACACAAGAGAATTACTCCGAAAATTATGGTCATAATTATGCCGAAAATTTTGGCTGTCGTATTACACGTAAAAGAATTCTTGTGAAAATTTTCATGGTAAAAATATAAAACCCGTTCTATAGAATATGCGCGAGAATTGGCGCAGAGGGTTATTTCCATGCATGTCAATATCAAATGTCAATAACATAACCTCACTTAACATTTGTGGGTGTGGTCCTGTTCGAGTCGTACGAAGAAGCGTTTATTGTTATTGTTTATTCATACATTCATAATGTCGTGGAATCGGAAAGAAGTTACACTGTTGTTGGAGGAGTACCAAAAATGGCCAAACCTGTACAAGGTGAAGTCACCCAATTACAAAAACAGAAATTTGCCGGGTCAGGCGTTGGATGCGATAGTCCAAGCATTGAGAAGTTTTAAAACATTAACCAAGATCTCGATTTCAAAAATAAATTTAAATCAACGACGTCTGTTGTCTTTCCGATTATATTGGACGTCATACCCGTTAAGGTTATGTCCATTCGAAAATATTACTCTAATGCGCAGGCGTATCATATGAATTACTCCGAAATTTTGTTTGCTTGTGTCATAGAGGTTGTAGAGAAAATCTTCAATATTTTTTCCATGCAAATTTTCGGCATAATTATGACCATAATTTTCGGAGTAATTCTCTTGTGTGTAAAACGGCTCTTAGGCGATGTTTTTGGAGGTTTTATACTTAATTGACACAATAATATTGACTAGTCAGATAAATTGAGATAAATATTGTCGCAAAACTTATCTTTTTCCACAAAACACACAGTTAAATAATATACCACTTGGAAGCACTCACGATACACGTTGTGTCAAATACGCACAGATGTAGAATAAAACAAAATGGAGGTCGGGTGCGAGTCGGCTTGCTATTATGCCATTGGTCTCTCGGACACACGCACATGCGCAATAGGCCCAATCTGAAGGCGACAAATTCAAAATCTGGTGTTTGTATATGGGAACGCATTTTTTTCTCCGGTATTATATTTTTGATGAATTGTAAGGTAGCAACGGTGGATTCGACAATATATCATATCAATCTTCGACTTCCATTCCATCAGATGTCATCCATGAATTGTATATACGAGTATCTACAAGAGATGTGGTGGATATCTAATGCATATGCAGTAGTCTGAGTACTGGTATAGGTTGTGCCATAATTTTGTATGCACTTAAGGTGGTAACACAGGTTAAAGTAACACAGTAAGGAGGCATTGTAGGAGTATATGTTTATTATATGAAGTTTTCGTCTTGGACCACATTAAAGCTGTCCACGTAGTTCATTAATACTCTATATAAATCACTACATCTTGAATAAGCGACTAAATGACTAAATCATCGAAATCTGTGTGTACTATATGAATCTGAGAGATTCCTGTCAAATTCTGTATATTGTTACACGTACCATGACCTTGCAAGCTCTGCAAATCATACTCCAGCACGAAGTCGAAAGTGTGTCCAAAATGCATCAAACCTTCAACACTCACAGCATGACATTGCTGAGTGATACCTCTAAGGCAGTCTTGGGAAGTCCAGAACTCTGGAAGATCGACGCTGTATTGTACCCACAGGTCAGATTGGTCAAAGTGTTTGCCGCTAAGAATCTCGAAGAATATGTACACGTAAAGCTTGCTTTTCGGTGGCATGGCGAATGTTTCTCCTATTAGCTCTTGCTGAAGAGAACGTTTCTTCTTTTGAACCTGGAAAAGATTACATCTTATTTGTTCTAGATGCTCAAGGACAGAAGCTGAAACAAAATGTACGGAATGCCACGCTGTAAATTGACCCTCCTTCAACTTTGTGTAACCATTTACCAATGTAAAGTTTTTTATGCAGTGTCTTTTTTGTAGGTGTATGTAGAGTGATTCCAATTATAACGTATATGATTTGTTATACTTATTTCCGTTACTTCATATACAATCTGGTGTAAGGCAGAATACATACTAACATTTTCATTAAGAATATACAGTGTGTTCCAATTAGAAAATATAATTTATGCGGAATCATTTTTTTAAATACAGAAAGACATTTCTTCAGTAACATCAGATTAGACTCTATAACTTTTGTATAGGTACTTTTGTCTAAAAGGTCAAGGTTAGTGGTGGGGTCAATTTATAAGCGGGTCACATTTTTCTTTTGTGACCAGATAAAGCACAAAAATACATTCGTCAACTTGGAATGGTCACAAAATATTCTATTATAACGATTCCCAGTATAATACGAGTGATGTTTAGCGATCAGGTGTGTTGACGCATAGGTTAATAGAAATGTCTTTCATGGGCAAAACTCGTAAAATGTCAATAAATCGTAAAACTATAGCTTTTTTGAAAATGTTCACGCCATTGAATTATAAAGTTTCCAATATATTCATCATAAAAGAAAAAAGTTTATTCATTACTGACTCGGAATTTCACGGAATGAACGCGGTTTATGATATATCCAAATATCGGTATTCTTACTTTATTGCCAGGAACAAAAAATCAAGTGCTACATATAGTTTATTCACTGAAAGAAAGCAGTTGCGTCATATTTAGTAAATTTGAATGCCAACCTTAATGCAAAATATAGTTTCAATTTCCCGAGTACATTTATGTTGGTAACAGTTTTCTGTGTTGTGACATTGTCGCAAAGCTTGTCAGGTATAATAATAATTACGCCAACGGCTGTTGTTTATTTGTGGTTTATTTTCGTTCTTTTTGCCTCAAAATTTGCTTTGTTATTTTATAAAAACAGTTTTTTTAAAAACTTTGAGGTGTCCTTTTAAGCATTTTGCTAAAATGCCAAAACCTCTAGGTCGACAAGCCAAAGAATTCGTCACTTCTTTGACGAAATATTTTGAGACAGAACGAGATCATGGAGCTCCATTATTGCCTTTACAGTCCGTAAGAAAGGTATTAGGTAGAAAATAGAATGTATACTAGTTCTAGCGTTTACAAAACATTCGCTCCGTAATGTTGGTTGCGGTAAGGCATCGAAGACATAAAGTATATTTTATAAAACGCCGTAGGATCTAGTAGTTTTAATTAATGTGGTAACCATGTGCGTCACTGTCATTATTTGACGTTGTGACGTAACTGCTTTGATTCAGTGAATGAACCATACAATGGTGTTATTGAGCAGAGCCGTATCCAAACTATTGGAAGATCAGGGCACACGATTGTGTTGACTGGCGCGACTATAAAACCGCCTAAAATTGTCGTTTTAACCAATATGGGGAAGTACCAAAAACGATTCGTATGAAATCGTTTATTAGTCGACAGTGGAGAGAACAAAATCTTAGTGCTATTATTTCGCTGCTCCCTTATGATCTTCCTTATTTCGATTTTGTGCAGTAGCGAAGCAATCCTTCGTTCTAGGGGATGACGCATATTTTACCCGCATAAAACTCCGGCCCTGCATGGAGCCAATAACAATGATTTGTAAACTATAGTATGTGTAATTTATGCGGAGATCGTGAAGGAAAAATTGTTTTAGTATACCCACCAGTTCAACGACTTCCTTTTCTTTGGTGAAAAGTTCATCATCCTGCTCGCTATCAATATCTGACGGCTTTTCCACAAAGTAGTAAACTTTAGTGGCAACTTCATCTTGAATATGCAGCAGATAAGGGGTATCAGTCGTAAAGTCAGGATATACAGAAAGAACTTCAGATGCGTTATCATATTGTAGTACACACAGAGGTTGTTCGTTTCTTATCCAAATATCGTCAACGTAACATCTTCAACATAGAAAGCAGCCGAGTCATTTATTTAGCAAAACTCAATTACTTTCACGTATTTTCTCATCGAGTAGAGTGCAAATTACCAATCTTGTTATATACACAAGCATTGGTAAGTAAAGTTATAGAATAAGTACAGGAACCGTTTGTCCATCGAATACAAAATAATTCGGTATTTGCATGATTTTTGATCTTCTGATGGAAGGTAGATCTTGCGAATATAAATGGATACGAATTTGTTCTTCATTTCATACATTCGAACCGTGTCTGAGAATTCGAAAACGAAAAATGTTTCAAAGAATTTTTGAAATACGTAGTACGAAATTTTAGTAATCATCAACTTATAAATTAGAGAGCTTTGGCCATCACAAGTATCGCTTACGTAAACGTTAACGTCAATCTCTTTTGACATTTGTCACACGTAAATCATTGGCATAAATCTCTAAAATAATATTAAAGTTCATGTTGTCGTATGCTGTGTTTGCTAAAACTCACTAATATATCATTTCATATCCGTAAAAGGAGAATCCTAATTACAATCTCTTAAGACTTAGATCTACAAGTATTGCGCAAAATAAATAGATGAGATCTCAATTGTAGCTGCTCTAACATCTTTGTATCTAACTTACCCAAAATCGGCCATAAGATACATTTTAGTAATATCTAGCTTAGGTTTTCTATTTTGAATAGCATCCGTTACAGATTCCACATAATCAAAGGAATGCGATTTGTCTTCTCTGTGTTCTTGGGATGGAACTGAAGCGGTTTTCATCCATTTTTGTAAATACGAGGGTTTAGATAATACTAGCTAAAACAAACAATAGCTACATCACACACACACAAACACATTTTTTATTGCAAAAAGTTATCGACTATAATCGCCTTTCAATGAGGTGGAGCTTTTTATTCAAATTTTGTGCCATCTTTGATAATAAAAAAACTTGCATTGTAATGTCTCACCTCTTTTTCGCTTACATAACCATCTTTGTCTACATAGGTAAAAAATAAGAGATTTTCTTCAGTTTCATCGCTGGCATTTACAACTTTCTCGTTATATATCTTTGCGATATCCGTAATGCAGTTGTTGATGTCTCCATAAAAATCTCGCTCAACTTTACTGAAATGTTTCTCCTGCCAACGAAATTCCTGGCTCAACCATTTCTTCTCCTCTCTCATCTCGTTCGGGTCGTCAACCATTTTCAATTTGATGCTACAGAAAACAAGCTACAAGAATACTGTAACTACTGACTTCGCACAAAGCACACCTATATCGACATTATATGTTCCAGTTTTGTTTTCCTCTTCTTTGCGTTTATAATCAACTGTGAAGCTCCAAACAGAAACCGAACTGAGGCGCCCATTGGTGAGGCATGGGCAGAGATACAGTGATATACCCGCTTGAGCAGTACGATGTTTTTAATAGAGTACCAGTTGGACGACGAGTGGAGTGTTTTTTTACCCTTCAAAACATCCCTAAATAGACATATTTTCCCACATATAACAACTCTGCTTCAAACTGATTGACTAGGTCTGTAATACTAACCTACCCTTTAGAGAGGCCCGATGGCAGATCCCTGAGGAACTCCTTAATATACATACCGTTTCAACGTTCACATTATAGACTGATAATGAAATTTTTTGACATACGTAAAAATCAGCACCATGGATACAAATCTATACCCGATCTTTTTTTTTTCTGAATTCTCACCTGAAATTAACATTGTTAACGCCTCTAGGACATCTGTAGTACCCTGTGTATTTATCATATCTAGCGTTTTCATCGAAAATCATATCGTCTTATCTCCACTCTGTAACTTTCAGGTAGGTGAAATTTCGAATTGTGCTAGAGTTGTTTATTGTTGACAATCATAATGTAACTAAGCAACAAGCAGAGCGCCAGGATCGGAGTCAGTCAGGGGTGACCGGCTATTATGTATAAAACGTAAAAAAACGACGAAATGTCATCTTGTAGACTAGGTAGTTTTTAGTGTGCAAATAGTTCATTCCACGTTTGCTTGCTATGATCGCTGTTCGCTGACGTTTAAGCAACACGTACAGACACAAAACGAGTTCACGACAAGTGTACAACAGCTTATGATAAGTTAATATCTTCTAGAAAAAAGCCTATGTTATGTTAAAAAAAACCTACGACATGTCAAAAAAAACCGAAGAAATGTTACTTTTCAATTTACGTAATATCTGTGCGGCAGGGTTATTACGTAAAAACCCTATATAATGTAAAAAAAAGCCGATAAAACGTCTACTTGTTGACTAGATATAGTTCCTAGTTCACATCTTGTAGGAAAACCTATCACTTTCAAGATACGTAATACCCATGCATCAGGGTTATTATGTAAAAAACCTATATAATGTCAAGAAACCGATGAAATGTCCCTTATTGACTAAGTAGGCTAGTGTGCAAATAGTTCATTCCGCGCTTGCTACAAGTGAACGACAGCTAGTTCCAAGTTGCGTCTTGTAGGAAAACTACATAATGTCACTTTTCAAGTTACGTAATTGGATTGGGACAAAATGCAGGGTTTTAGTTTCTGTATTCTGATGTAATAACTTTCATGCACGGCCCAATGTGTGCATGTTGCATGCACACGTGCTCCCTCGTTAGAGTCCATGTGACGTCCTCCCTTACCCCCGTAACGTCATATAGCCCCACAGTACTCACGGGTATTTAGGCCTTCGTATTTAGTGGTTCAAGTATTAAAAGTATTATTCTCTCTCACACATACATGGGTATTTCTCAGCAAATTTCGAAATCCATGTCCTGAGTCATTGAAGTTGCATGGATTTAACATTTTTATTATATCAATAAGTATCTACACTAATATTTAAAAAAAATTAGATAATATATTGACACAAAAAAATACGTTTAATTTATTAGTCTAAAAGTCATTCCCTCATCTCGTCCCTGGGTGTGAAATTAATAATAAAAAATATATACATTCGAATCTGTTCACATTCTTATAAATTGAATATTATTAAATATTTGGTGATAAGTATGGATTGTATAGTCAAGTTTTCATTGCTAAAAAATAAATATGCATATAAAAAGATCTATTTAAACTATGTCCCTTGAAACGAAATCATTCCCTCACCCATTATAAATATTCGATTTGTGGTCACACCATTTGATATTTTTGAACGCAGCTGTTATGTTTTTAAAACTTGGCAATACTGCTAATAATGTCAACATGGCTGAATTTCTTAATAGTGAAAAGAGTTGGTGCAAAAAAGTATTGGATTTCAATAATTAGAACATTACATTTCTCTGGTCATTACCTCACTGTTTATATTAAAAGCTAAGTCATTATACTGTTCGAATGTTTTAATGATTTTTTCTTGTTTTTTGGGGAGTAAAATGCATTCACAAAATGCTAAATCAATTTGAGGTGATGTACTGTTGGTTGCGGTGTCGTTTATGCAAATCCGTCATTTCCTCACAGTCATTCCCTCACTAGATTAGAAAGTGAGGCAATGAAAATTATATGAGGGAATGATTTTTGCATATATAAAATTGTGGTTTGGGTGTTATTGTTTAACTCCAGGTTGTATAGCATGTATTTTCAATTTTAACAGATATCCGTATATCAAGAATGGCGTAAATAAAGAAGTTAAGTGAAGAAGAAAAGAAATTAAAAAAGGAGTACGACAGAAAGAGGCGAGAACAAATGAAAATTAATGCTGAGTCTTTAGAAGCTTTGCGTGAAAAAGAAAGATTAAAGTATTTAAGGAAGAAGTAAAGTTAAGTCAATAAGTTCTATAAGTGCAAGAGAAACTAGCCAAAAACGAAAACAATGGAAAAAGAATAGTAAAGTTTATAGGGTAAAGCGAGTTACATTACAAACAAATTTACACAGAATTAGTTGAAGAAACACTCCCACCACGTCCTGCACCATCTTTACAGCACAGAGCAGAGAATTTGTCTGCTCTCGATAGACGTAGAATGCGCAAGCGGCGAACTATTCTGTACGCGAAGATTAAAAGATTGGAAAATAAAGTAAGGAACGCGGTCAAGCTTAGCGAAAAATATAAGAAGAGCTGTTTGAGATTGAAAACTAAAGATATTGACCGAGACTCTCCAGCAACTAAAATGTCTTCGCTTTTAAAGAATATACAAGTTCCTGACGTTGTAAGAAAAAGACTCATTTTCGGAGAAGCACTGTCAACGGACCTCAAGAATATCTATGAAGATCTTGGAAGTAAACATGGAGAAAAGAAAAAATATTACAAAATGTTGAAGCTGCAATTAGTACAAAAGATACAAATTGCTATATAGATCGAAACATTTTTTCAAATCGATACGTTCAAAAAGAACTGTAGGTACTCATAAAGTTAGCTCCAAAATGCTGAAAGTTAAGGGTGATGTTCATTTCTTAGAGAAGGATGAAAATACGAGGATGTGGCCAGGGGAGAAGGACGATTTAAGCTCTCTAAAGTATAAAGTAATTTTTCTACATGTTATACACAAAAATATGGAGGACCTTCATTTTCAATGAACCTCACTAAAGTAAAACTTTATATTTCTGCAAAAAAAGGATATATTTTCATTAAAATTTGTTGACAAATACCCACATATGCAATCAGCCTCTATGAGCGGACGTTTGCATGTGTAAACAAAAAGGCATACGTTTTTTAGGTTTGTCTCAATACCATGAAAATTTTCTCGCCAACGTACTATATGAATCTTTCACGTTTATGCTTGTCAATGTAAAAACTTTCTTGTCATGGGCATGTGACTTGTGTTTACCCATGTTTAACTTCGATATAAAATATAGTAGTGCCTGAGGTTACAACCGCAATGGCGATAGTCTGTACTGGAAGTATTTTCAGAAAGTGAGTGAAAACAACACTACTCTATCACCCAATATGTATTGGAAAGTGAGGTTACGAACATGGTACCATTTAGTCAAACTGTTTACTTATTGTGCATAGAATTATGACGTAACCGCAAAAAAAGTAGAAAAGAACTACATATTCATACCTAAATATTATCAGTGTCAAGTCTGGCAACCGAAGGACGTCCAAACAATGGATTAGAACTTTGAAGAAAAAATCAGAAGATATATTGCAGAAGAAGAAACAGTATTTTTCTATTGCCAAAAAAATTTGAAACCCCTCGTGGCTACGTCTCTGACCCCATTCATTGTCAGTGTCACTTAAAAATGTGTTACGCCACTGCACAAACGTTCGCAACTCATGCGCTGGTGTCAGATTGTATCGACAGAGTTTCTCAAGGTATTGATGCTGCTATGCGTATAAACGTGATGGTTGGAGTATGATTTTTTATGTACCTATGTAGGCATTGTAATCTAATCTAGACAATATTATACACATCACATGCTACTGCTACTCTTGTGTACTGAAAAAAAGCAGTGGAATATACAGGGAGAACCAACTTTGTCTGACAGCTTAAGTTCAACGTGTACGAGAGAGAAACGCGAGAAGTGTGTATCAACACATGTTAGAAAGAGTTAGAAGCCGGCTGAAGAGCGAAGGTCATCACCACTCCACGCCTAGCAACGGTGACGTAGAAGGTCGTGCAATCTTCCTCGTTGCCAATATGTGACAGCCGAAAATGTTTGCATATGCTTCTTCAATAGGCTATGTAAAACTTAAGAACGAGGTTTGTTCGAATATTTAATATAATATTTTATTTTTATTCCTAAGCGATTGCTACATTTTCCGACGCAATGCCTGCGTGTACTCAGGTGAAAACCATTTCGAAGCAGGTCAACGCTCCCTTACGAGTGCTACTGACCAAGATTGCTCAAATATGATCATGGAGGTGGAAACCTTGTCTTGGAATTTTAAAGGGATTGGACTATAAATAATATACAGGGTGTTTGGAGGGCGAGTATCCAAACGGAAATGGCGGAGGGCTGAGGCTGTTGTCTATTTACAACGCCTAATTAATTTACATTTTGCCTCAGTTTAGAAGGAGAAATAATGATTTTTCTTTTTTTTTGGGAAAATCCCCAGTTTTTAAATTTACGATTCAATATTTTTTCTATTCACGGTCGCAACAGCCCAAAATTGATTTTATTTTCAAGTCTACTGTTACTTCATTCAGATTCAGACAACATTTGAAGAACAAGTAGCAGTGGAGCAACAAACGTCCTTAAATCAATGAAAAAAAAAATAACAAAATGGTCCGATCCCATGGCCTGTAAGATTGCCGAACTTGACCCCGCTTGATTTTTACGTCTGGGGACGTGCTAAACCACTAGTGTATTCCAAACCCATTTATATAAGAGAACAATTAATAGAAAAAATTAATAATGCTTTTGTGATTATCAAACGAGAAATAACACTACAGTATCACAAAAGAAATAAGAAAGAGATTTACAATAAACCGAGCAAAAAGAGGACAATAGGTTTAGCTGTGATAGATTGCACCTGCACAATTAGGTAATTGGAATGATTTGGCTGCATCCACTATCACGAATCGTTGAAATTAAATTTATTTTTTATTGTCTTATCTAATTATTTATGTTACATGTGGCATACCGTTAGAAAGATTGTTATCTAGAGAAGTTTTTAATTACATTTGAAAACCCCGTACTCTTTTGTATTATTTTTTTTGCTTATTGTAAAGTTGACTTAACATTTTTTTTTTCATTGATTTAAGGAAGTTTGTAGCTCCACTGTTACTTGGTCTTTCACTGTTTGTATCAAATGTTGGTTGAATATGAATCAAGCAACAGTAGACTTAAGAATAAAATCAACTTTCGCCGTTGCGACAGTAAATAGAAAAAATATTGAAACTCAAATTTAAAAACTGGGGATTTTCTCAAAAAAAGAAAAAATCATTATTTCTCCTTAAAACTGAGACAAAATGTAAATTAATTAGGCATTGTAAATAGCCAATATAGCCTCAGCCATCCGCCATTTTCGTTTGGCTATTTCACCCTCCAAACACCCTGTACAATGTAAAAGGTAGACGTTTCCTAGTTTTGTGTGAACTAGGGAAAATAAGTGAAATCTGACAACTGTGAGAAATACAATAACTCTAAAGCCTAGGTGGTGCGGCGTGGGGGTTACAAGGGCGCCGCGCTACAGAGTTT